GAGCTCGACTGAGTCTGCGGATTTGTCTCGTGGGCACCTGGCTCATAATGGTCCTCCAGTGGCCAAGTAGATTTCCCACCACCTGTCTCTGCTTCATGAAATACAGCAGCTGGTCATCCTCCGTTTGCATGGTGCCGTCGGGCTTAGCTAGGTTGTGATAATACAGGGAATGGGAGTCGTTCTCCTCGACACTTAGAGTCTCCCCTCTACCTGAGCACTTGTAGGCTTCAGTCATTGTGTACTTTCTCCAGTGCTCTAGGAACAGAAACACAATCCTTTCCTTGCGCATCTCGATGCACTCCTGGACATAGCTCAGGTCTGTCTGCACCTCTAGACTGCGGGTGAGATGCTCTGAGGTTAGTGGATTCGTGGGGTGGTCATGATGCTCCGGTGCAGATGGTCCAGACCCAGTGTATGTCAAAGATGAATGGGACTGCGTTATAGGTTCCTCATTCACCAAAGGTAAATTTAAGTCTTGATCTATCGGCGACCCATCTCCGGCTTGCGAGTGGCTCTCACTTAGAGAAAACAGCAACTCGTCCTCCAAGATGGGCTCTGAGGGGTAGCTGCATTCACTTACCGCCGGCAAGGACCTTGTGCGTTTGTATATGCAGTTTGTTTTGTCGTCCTCGTTCTTTGACTGGCTATGGATTTCGTAATTGGCTTTCAGGCTCTTCACAGACACACCACACTGCTTAATCTCCTTCTCCACCTCCTCTCGAGTGGAGAATGATTGCGATCGGCCAATGTTCCCAGAATTTGAGATCCCCGTCTGGCCCTTTCCACTCTTCAGGCCTTCGTACGTATATCCCTCATTGATAATTTCCAGAATATCGATCTCCTTCCCGCCCAAAGTGGCGAGCAGAATGGCCATGCTTTTGAGCAGCGTGGAGATCTTGCTGCACCAGGCAGGCAGGTCTTCTGCTTGCCCATGAACCTGTTTGGGGTTGACAGAGAAGTGGTCTTGGTTCAAGGCTGCAGACACAGGTAGGAGTTGCTTCAACTCTTGCTCCAGCTGCTCCAGATCTTTCTCCACCTCTGTCACTTTGTGCATGACCTGGAGGTTCTCGATCTGCTTCTCAATGCGGATGAGGTCGTCCTCTGTCATCAGTTCCCCAAAGGGACCCAGTATAGCATTGTGCACGTGTGAATAATGCCAGTCTTGGGCTTGATAGTATCCACTGGCAGCAAACTAAAGTAGGTTCAGAGGAGGATATAGAAGGGAACAAAAACAGAGGTGGGCGTGCCCTTCAGCCTGTGGATCCGGTGCGTTACATACACGCCTTTAAAGCCTCTTCACCCCAAACGTTTCAAACTTTACATGAATTTAGTGGTGCGATGATACTGCCTTGTTTTAACTGAATTGACTTTACTTGCAAAAGAAGCTTCAGTTAAAAAAAACTAAAATTGCAACAGAGTATGGCAAGACCGCTCATTTGTCTTAGAAATTTATTGTCTGAGTTTTTGTTAGGATCTATTAAATATATAAAAAATACTCTGGGTTACTTTTAAATGATTGCCTATGGACACAATCAGTGATATGCTAGTGAATATTACAAACAATAATTTCAATGCAATCTTCAGTTCGTAAAAAAGGAACAAGAACTATATTTTCAGTAAAACACTTACTGTGTATGTAGTAGGCATCGGGCCAATGGGTTTAAAAGTTCATATTTTTGTAAAAGCACTCGACTATCTCATTAAAAATGGTTGCTACTTGAGCCATAAAGCTGGCTAAACCGTCCTTTTGAGTTGTGACTAAACAGAGTTAAACGTTACCAGCATAATATTTGTGGATGGAGTATGCATAACTCAGCTCCATGTAAATACTTTCTGTTTTCGAGTTGATATATGATACGTCACTTTTTTGTAAGTATATTTACAGTACATTCCCAATCAGTTTTTTCAAACTGAGGACAATGCTAAATGTATTTCTTGTAATTCCACAGCCTGCCATAGATGTTGTCCATATAGACATTCATTTGAAAATTACCCAGAAGTTTCCTTTAAGTGTGAAATTCATGTGTACTTTATCTGTCAGTTATATTTAGCTCATGCTTCCAAGAGACTTGACTATATGCACCTGATCTAAAAAACAAAAAAACAAAATGAAAAATACTGAGAAACCTTCAGGACGTTAACAAGATGTATGAAGGTATAAGATAAAAATAAAGCGCTTAATGAGTAGAATGAGCAAGACGACCAACTGCACTTCGTGCTGTAAGCTCCAGTTGCAGTGTGAAGGGGCTTTGCATCACACCACTGAATCCCCATGTAAAAACTTAGAGCTGTCGTGCACCGTCGCCAGTAAGCCACATTAAACTAATACTTCCTTAGTAAATGTCAAACACACTTAGGCTTGTCTTGAGAAGGTCACAACAGCCCCAAATTAAACACTGCATCACTCAACACAGAGTCAAGGAAAAGCCAACCAAATGTCACACTGCAAAACATTCACACCCAAGATGACACCCAGACCAAAACTGAAGATTGAGCTTTATTTTTAGCTTTTAGATTGAGTTTTTCTTTACCATAAGCTGAAAACCTTGTCTGAGCAGTAATTTTAAACTCTTAAAGGTCTAGAGCCAGCTGTAACATGTGTTTGTTTTAGCAGCCATTTGACTTTGCAGTCAAGAGGGACACATCAATATGTTCACAATGAATAAACAAAGTAGCCTGTAAAAGTGATTCAATAATGCCATCTAAGGCAAGAGTAAGTAATCTGGCCCAACTTACTGGTGTCATAAAAAGACACCCTGTGTTTCCCTGGACAAAATATATACAAATATACTACTCACACAATATTATTAAGTCATTGACAAATGATATCTCATCCCAACACTAATTCTCCATCCTTCCATCTATTAACAACAAATTTCTAAGATTTATATGCTGACAATTTCTGCTAACCTGAAAATGTATTTATGAAACAATTCCAGAGCTGCATAAATGTCTGCTCATTCACACAACACTGCTTTATACAATTTCCCATTCATGGAGAAGTGACAGATCACACACATCACTTTTGCAATTAGTAGATCTCGCATATAGTTTTCAAAAGAAGTTGGTGTAATGCATATGGACTATATGGGGGTTTGGGGGTTACGCATAACACAATTTCTGACAATATTTTATATTATATATGAACTGACTTTAACTGAAAAACTGTTTTCTATTGTCCTTTTGCATTATCAGCACATTTTTTTTCTGTTTAACACTGTAAAGCTGCTTTGACACACACTGTATTGTATAAAGCGCTATATAAATAAAAGTGACTAAAAGAAGTGTGTACACTCAAAACTCACCATGCAGACACCCACTGCTCCGCTATCCTCCATGTAGATAGACCAAACCTCAAACTCACAGCTAAAATTTACACTTGAAATCATGAGCTGTTTAAAATCTAAAGAGGTGATCCTATAGCTCACACTACTTGGACTACAGGAGGATAGCGCAGATGTCAGAAGCTGAGAAAATGCACTCATTTCCATTTATTCATTGTAAAAGTTAAATTGTTAGAGTTAATCTTTATAAACACCATTGTATATACACATTTAACAAACAATTTGAGATTGGCTATGTTCAGAAGGGAATACTAGCTTAAATATGGTAATTTTGTATTCTAAATGAAATATTATATAACATGTCATAACTTTTGGAAGCCCAGTCAAATAAGGCAAGAAATTGTAAAGCACTTTATATTAATTTAATTCATCACAATTGAAATGGAAAGTCAAGTGAGGTGCATTCTATGTATAAAGACAATTTGCATATTGTGCACAGAATTTATCTACTGCAGATACAGTAGTATGTTAGTATGCTATTCCGAGCGATTATTTAATATGCTTAAGGACCCCATGAAATGCCTTGACAGTTTTCTCTCCTGTGTTGATGGATATCCTACTGAAACAGGAAGTGGGGACAATATTTGGGAGCTTTTCCCATTTTTAAAAAAAATAGGCAATACTATATAGTTAACAAAACATCCCGAAAAAAATCCACAGCTTGTAAAATTGACAAAGGAATGAATAAATATACCAGCAGCCTCCTTTGTAACCAATTAATGGTTGGGAAAGCACATTATATGGAAAAACTATGCAACCAAAGACGCAATTCACACTTTCGATTAGGAAACACAAATCACTATTAACTAATTGCCTATTAGTATGCATATTACTAGCATACTGGCTGTTTATTAGTACTTATAAAGTACAGGGGTCATATGATGCGATTTCAGGTTTTCCTTTCTCTTTGGAGTGTTACAATAGCACTGGATAGCTGACCAATCACAGCACACCTCGCTTTTCAGACCGATGAGCTTTGTAAAAATCGACGCGTTTCAGAAAGGCGGGGCATAGAGGAGAAACAATAATGTACAGTATGTGGAAAAGAATGTGTTTTTTAACCTTAAACCGCATAAACACATTTCATTACACCAAATACACAAAATAATGTTCTTTTTTAGCAACATCATATGACCCCTTTAATGCATGAACATATTCTAGATCCCTTAACCCTACCCAATACCTAAACATAACTACTTCAACAACTACCTTACTTACTATCAATAAGCAGCAAATTAGGAGTTTATTAAAGGAAAACTCTTAATAGTGAATATGTGTTCCCTAATCTAAAGTGTTACCAGACACACTGATGAACTATGATTTGCTTCTTTCTAATGTGAGTCAGAGGCAGCTGTCATTATTAGGGAGTGGACTTTCTTATTCTAGGAAGCATTTTAAGCGGCAAAAATTTGTCATCGGTAATTTATACCAGATAATAAAGACTATTTTCGTGCGTGCATGTACATGTTGTCAGCTCTTAGGAATTTACTAGCATATAAATGACCTTAAAAGCATGGATTGATTCCGTGGGGTCTTTAAGTATGTTATGAAGCTGTGATTTGAAAGCTTTTGTTAACGTGACTAAATGTTGAAATCTGGATAAGAGATGCACTGCCTCAGCTTACGTTGAAAACACCCAGCTGTCTCATCACTCACCTTTCTCTTGTTCTCTTCCTCCTCCTGCATCTTCACTTGTAGTTTCCTCACCATCACCTGTCTCTTCCACTCTGGGATAGCTCGGCCCTGCTCGTCATGTGTGGGCACCAGACTCTCAACATCCACCACGCTGGACTTGTCCTGGACAACAGGAGTATTTCCGTTGACGGCGGTTGTGAGCTTCTCGCTGCTCTGTGAGGTGTTGTGGTTCTGGGGCGACCCACCGCTGGTCGTGGGGCAGACAGGTGGTGGAGATTGTGGCTTTGCAGATTGGGTGTCGTCGGGCTGGCGTTTTGGCAGAAGCTCTGGCAGCGATGACGGACATTCCCCCTTAATATGTGAAAACGATCAATCAGAATAGAATGGTCCAGAAGAAAATATAGATATGGTCACAGCTGGCTTGAATAAAAACACTCTTCAATGGTTCTTCATAGCATCTAAAGATCAGCAAATAATTCTCATCTTCTAAAGAATCAAGTTCACTTGAAATGAAATCTGTGCCGATCACTGTGTTTTTGGCTGTATAAATGTCATTGTTTTTTATTGTTCTTTTTTTTTTTTTACAATAAACAATTTTGTTAAGCTTGCTATTTGATCTCCAGTGCAAAACTAGTTGAGAACCTCTGCTCCACTTATCAAGAACCATTCTTCTTTTTGTATTATAATATGATTGTGTTCATAGTGTTCTGGAATTAATTAAACATTTCTAATAATAATAAAAACGAATTATGTGTTTATCAAACTCATAATTACAAGTTTTTCATTCAGAATATTATAAAAGCTCTGTTATAAAACAGAGTTCCGGTCCTTGATTCTGATTGGCTGAGCCGCGTTCAAAGCTATTATAAATTACTCTACAAACACACACCTTTGTTTACTTTGTGTGTTGCTTGGCAACCACTTTGTTGCAACCACAACTGATTCTGCGGAGCTACATTGTTTGGTGGAAGAATACTGTTTTTATTAATATCATTACACTTTACTTGCTCTGTTTTATTCTGTGAAACCTTACTACGTATATGGAATAACCGTTTTACAAAAGCAATAAGCCCCGTGAAGCCGTGGTTTACAGTGAATTTATAATGATGTCATAAATTTAAACTTATCTGGTGCTCTTTATTAATCTCGTCAATATAGAGAACACAGATGAGAATAAATATCATAAACAGAGACATCTTGTACTTATGATACTTGCAATTGTTACTCACCATAAAATGTAGGGGAAAAAATGGTAACACTTTATTTTAAGGACCTATTCTCACTATTAGCATGCATATTACTAGCGTATGGCCTGTTTATTAGTACTTATGAAGCACATATTAATGCCTTATTCTGCATGACTTTATTATAGATCCCTTAATCCGACCCCATACCTAAACTTAACAACTAATTATTATTAATAAGCAGCAAATTAGGAGTTTATTGAGGGTAAAAGACATAGTTAAAAGTTAATTAGTGTTCCCTATTCTAAAGTGTTACAAAAAAAATAGTTTGACTGTTTGTTAAACAAAAATAATTTACATAAGCAACCACAGAACTGTCAGTGTAATTTATTTCTTGAAATTATTGGCCAGTTAATGAAGGTAGATAAAAGAAATTTGAATGCTCTTCTGTCGTTTCCTGAATTATGTAACTTTAATAAATTGTGCTATTGTATTTCAGCAGAGTTACACAAGCCTGAATTATCCTGCACAATGGATTTGATGCCAGATCACTGAGCTGCACTCTTATAACGCTCCAAACTGCAACTCTATAATCTGAAACTAACTTTGTTTTGGATTATTTCATTATTTATTGTGGCTGCAGAAGTTCTATTTTGGGAATACTGATCCATATTTTAATGTATCCATCTCCATAATGATAACTGGAAATGATTTCAATGCTTATTGAATACAGAATTCTTTTCTCAGTGTTTTAAGTAATATCAATCCATAACGGGGACTCCTGTTTATTGTTATCTATATGCCATATATAATAATCAAAGGCTGCATGTAGACAACCGCTATAACTCATGAGACAAAGTACTTTTAATTTATGAGATTAACCATTAAGAATTTACATAAAGCTCAAAACAAGCTCATAAGTAAAACATTACAATAATAATAATGTTCTTGACAGGCTTCAGAAAATGCACCCTCATACGTTAAGAAATGTTTTCACTTCGTAGGCAAGAACTAAATTTGTGAAAGTAAGGGAGCATGACCTACATTGTTCGCCGCTGTGCCGTTGTTAGAGAAGACGTTCGTGTAGCCTTTACTCTGAGGTGTTGGCTTCAGTTTTGGCCCAGCTTTAATTTCGGCCAGAAGCTCAGAATTATCTCCAGTGGGGGACATCATGTTGAAGGATTTATTGCCTGAGATAAAGACAGAGGGAAACTGAGCCAGGATGGATGGATGCATGAAGAGAAAGAGAGAGACACACACACCGGACAAGCTTCTCCCCTAAATATTTAATTCAATGCATCTAAACAAATGTCTAAAGCAGTCAGTAACTCATGTGCTGGTACGAAATAGTTACTAATGAAATGAATCCACTCACTGAATGAAGTATACAAAAATAGGAGAGACTAAGGTAAAGGTCAATTTGAGAACGAATGAACAAAGGAAAAAGAACAGGCCTTTGTTGAAGTTTCAACCATCAGAATGATTTAAAATCTATGACATATTCGATTGCTCTGACCACTGCTATGTATAGTATAATACAATAATATTTATAATTCTTTTCAGCAAATTTAGTGAATTTGACCGAAAGGATGATATTGGCTGGCAAATGAGGACAAATTGGATTTTTTTTAGCCTGAAAATATGGAACTTATTCAATTAAAGATTGTTATATAACATAATCTACTTGACCAAAAGTGGCCTCTGCTCTTTAAGTTTTAGTCCCATAATACATGACAGTGCCAGGAAACAAAGGCTTGCTGTACCCAGAGTCTAATAATAATCTCTAAACAATCCACACAGTAATTTTGCTGCTTTAACATGCTTTTATCCACTTTATTTTTTACAAATGTATACAAATTAAATAAAAACACTTAAGGATAAAAACGTGACATACACTTATAACCAGAATGTTTAATCCACCAAAAGACTTTCTAAATATACATGATTGCTGATAGCTACAGGTATAAATAGAGCATAAATCTACCCTGCACAAAACCCATCAAAAATAAATAAATGAATCTGAATTTAAAATGTATAACTACTCAAACTGTCAACATAATTTATTTTCTTCTTCAACGTAGGAACTGAAATAAACTAAACAATATTGCTGAAGAAATAATAAAACAAATCTACATCACCTGTTGTTTTTTTGATTGAAATCTCCAGAGTGTCTCGTAACAGACGTGCTATTGTTTTGTCATAGCTGTGGTCATGAAAAGGTCTTCTCAGACTGAGAGAAGCCGTTTAGATCTACAACCCCCGATTCATACTGTCCTCTCCTCCTGCAAGAACAAAAACCACTGCGTTCGCTTTCTGCCGGTGGCTCATCACAGTCGGGGGAAGTCTGAACGGATCAGCAGTAATCAACTCTGACAAGAGACGGCTGCCAAATTGGAGCTGACCTCACGTCCTCTCCTCACTCACACTTCTTCCTCCCATCAGCTGCCTCCAGCTCTCCAACTCACAGCCGGGTGAGTGGATTAACAGAGTCTCACACACCACACTGAGTCACACATAAACGGCAAGCGACAGGCCTGAAAAAGTACACTTTCTGTTGATGTTTTGTTCATAAGATGCTTATAAATCCATTCATATCCTACAAATGACCATGCAAACACATTCCCTGCCTCTTAGCTACTTAAAACTGGTCTAGTCCTGATCAGCTTAGAGTGCTAAAAACCAGCAAACAAGACCAGCCAAGAAAAACAACACTCGATGAAAATAATAAAATGCTACTAACCACATACAATAGCAAAACTCAAATTAGACAGATGCTGACATGGACAGGTTGTGTGTCATGCCCTGATCCTCAAAAACCATTAGCAAAGCAAGAAAATATGGCGAAGATTACAAACATACAATTTTGCAACTCTGGGCTCATCAAATGAAGTAAAAAAATAAATAGATGTTGAGAACCAACAGTGCTCATATTTATGAATCACGTCAAGCTGTCCATTTCAATAAATCGATTCAACTCTGAAGAATCTGAAGAGTTCGGCATTTCTGACATCACTCAAAATGTATATAAAAATGTTTAATCGAAAAATACATGTAGGTAAATATTGCTGGTAATTACTATGCAGTGTTATGTTGATGCATATAAATGGAAATGACTGTATATAATTTCTCCTTGTGTTATTTTAGCCATTTCTATGGAAGCCTGTTTCCGCCACTGAAAAAAAAAGAGGTTATTTTTTATCTTTTTATCTCACAATTCTGACTTTTTTTCTCATAATTGCATGATATAAACTCACAATTGTGAGATAAAGTCCAATTTTGAAGGGGGCTGATATGTTCTCAGAATTGCGAGTTTGTATCACGCAATTATGAGAAAAAAAGTCAGAATTGCGAGTTTGTATCACGCAATTATGAGAAAAAAAAGACAGAATTGTGAGTTTGTATCAGGCAATTATGAGAGAAAAAAAGTCAGAATTGTGAGTTTGTATCACGCAATTCTGAGAGAAAAAAGTCAGAATTGTGAGTTTGTATCACGCAATTATGAGAAAAAAAAGATAGAATTGTACGCAATTAGTAAATAAACATAATAAGATAAACAAAAATAATGAGGCTGGGGGAAATAAACAAAGAAAGAAAACCATCATGTTTTGGCCAACATTACCTATTACTAGTTAAACGAAATCGCCATAGCTTAGTACAAACACACTATAAGTAACCTTCAACCTTGACTTGGCAAGTCCTCATTTATGACTTGTAGCTAAACATCAGTTTAATATAACTTAAACAAAGGCAATCAGAAGAACTTGTGCCTGAATATGAGCAGAAATAAGAGGATCAGGATGTTCACAATAGCTGTGCGTGGTGAGGAATGATGTGGCGTAGGATGGATGAAGGCGCTGCGTTGACGGCAGAGCAAGTCAGTAAGGCCGCCCTCTGTTTACAGACCTTTACACTCATTCATTACAGCATGACTTGCTATACGCAGACTAATGTCAAAACATGGCACTTTAATAGATTGCTTGTAAACTCAACAGTTTAATCAAAATTGTAAATGGTTTTAATTTCACAGGGATTTTTATGAGGATGAGTCAACATGAAATCAAAATTCACACCATATTTACTTAATCTTATTGTACATGATTCAACAGTGCATTGTATTTCAGAATACAATCAATCAAAATACAATAACGTTATTTGTGTCTGAAACAACTTTCCTTATTTTCTGATGTCATCAAGTTGTCATCAAGTTCTCTTAGTTGTCAACCAACCACCTGACTTCATTCTGGTATGGCACCCCCACTTTTTACATTCATTACATTTTACATTCAAGTTACTTTGTTTTCCCATTTATTCACTGATTCCTCTCCTGTCCCCGTGTTGACAGAAATTGGGTAGTAAGCGCAGAGGTGCTTCCTTCAGCCTGAGGCTCATTCAGTTCACTTTTGATGTGAAAGGGCTTTTACAGTTGCCAAAAATAGAACTTTCGGGTTTTTTGTTATTAAAGATAAATAAACAAGCCCAGCTCAGGTGACAGAAAGTAATGCAAAAGTAATCTAATACATTACGTTCCATAAAAAGTAACTAAGTAACACAATTAGTTAAAAAAAGTTATATAACATAATATTGTAATGCATAACTTTTAAAAGTAACTTTCGCCAACACTGTCAGAAAAACATCAGTAAAATGGGCTCTGAATGTCATTTCATGTTGACTTCATTGTATTTGTGATAAAGTGGTTTAAGCCAAAAAAACGACCTCACTCGTCGCACAATTTCATCAAAGTAGCTACGCTATATTAACAATCACAGCTGATGTGCCAGAGTCCCCGCAGCATCTGGGAATTCTGTGGGCTGATTGCAACTGGGATCACAGAAAAATCATGCTGGGTGCTGTGGTTTCTTTGGCTATCTGACATGAGAAGAACGTTCATGGTAATATTGAAAATTATAGATTTGATTTAGCTTGTGATCCAGTAGCCAAATAAACAACGCACTCAATGCTCTCGATTTAGGGAAATGAGAAGAAATGGAGTAAAGAATGGGACATAAATACAAACACACACATATGGTACACACATAATGAGGCTGGGGGAAATACTTACTCTTCCTCTGCCGGAGTGTTTCTGGAGCCGGGGTGACAGAGGGAGACAGATGCGTAGAGGAGAGATCCCCTTCTTTAGAGCCAATGCATCATGACAAGAGAAGAACAGGGAAAGCCAGAAAATATCCATGCAAAGCAGAGAGAGAGACAGATCCAGGCAGACAAGTGTTCAGTGAGACAGGTGTGGTGAAGACAGATGCAGAGGATGACAAATACAGGAAGGAAAGAAAGGAGATGAACAAACAAAAAAAACAAACACAATGAAACACAATATTGTTTTGGCAACCTGTTCACCTCTTTACTACATACAACCATGTACTTGTGCCTTTTTTATTTTTAAACTTGTGGGCAAGGATGATCTATAGGTGACTAAAAGTCGTATACTTGTTCTGAAAATGTGTGACTGAAAAATATGTAAAAACTGGACAACACTAGATAAAGTGCTAAGTTACTTATTTGGTTGCTAGGTATTTGTTATGTGGTTGCTAAGGTGTTCTGAGTTCTTTTTGTATGTGTAGGGTATTCTAGGTGGTTGCTAGGGCATCTAGGTAGCTTCTTGGGGATTCAGGATAGTTGCTAGAGCGTTGCTAGGTGGTTGCTATGGTGTTACAATGGAATTGCTAAGTGGTTGCAAGAATGGTTGCTAGCAGGTTGCTATGTGTTTGCTTACTGGCTAGGGATGGGCGTATCAATCCGTGTATCATTCGATCATTCGTTTTTTTATTTAATATTGAAAGTAGAAAAATGAGAAAACGGCTCCTTTTTCGTTTTTTTTTTTTTTCCAAAAAACAAAAAAGGAGAATTCAGCTTAAATTTTCGTTTTTCGTTCATGGGTGGAAAAATTAATAAACAGCTTGAATATTCGATTTCTACACGTGGGCGGGAATTAAACGCCCCTTTCTGCTGATTGGTCAGCCGAAGATCAAACCGTGCCTTCATCAGTTCTTCCGCAGTATCACGCAGCAGAATAATAGTCCTCCACTGCTGCAGTTGTACGGATTAATAACCCATTTTTATCAATTTCATATTTTTCTCATCAAACAGACTAATGAATAGCTCGACACAACTCGTACCGGGGCAGAGTCTAGACACGGCTTTCTTCTGTGTAGACCAGCGGTTCTTAAAGTGATAGGGGGTCCAAGAAATAATTTGCTATAGCCTAAAGTATTTCCAGACTGTAAAGTGGCTTTTTTTTTATCATGATACATAGGCCTACTGTGATTTATTCCAAAGTGACTTATATGATGCATTTAATGTAAAATAATCTAAATGAAGCCTTTTAAAAGACAAGTATTCCCTGTGGTTGATGTTTGTGGCATGCGCCAGAAAGATGCTCAAGGAGACCGAGACGAGCTAAAGCAGCGCATTCTGTTGTTCTCTTTATTTTTCAAAGGCATGACATTTTGTAGTTATTTTGAACGTAACGTTAATATTAAATCAAAAAACGAATGATCGAATGATACACGGATTCGTATCGATCCTGAAGTATCGATATATCGTTATTGATGTGAGTATCGATACTCAAATAAAAAAATATCGATACTCAGGTGTTTTGTTTTTTTTACCAGTGATTTTGTTTATTTATCAAAAAAATTAATGTGTACAATATGCATTGAATTGGATGAATAACAATGCTTATCAGAGGACAGAAAAAAACATATGTTTGAGTTATTTCACAATAAACAAATTGAAATTGTAGTCTACATAGTTTGTAAAGTTAAGTGGGTATCATTACCAATTTTACTCTTAGTAATTTAATAAATTTCATAATTTAAAAATTCAGTTTAGAAGTAGGGCTGGGCGATTTGGCAAAAAAAAAAAATCTTGATTTTTTTCAGAACGTTTGACCGATTCTCGTTTTCTTACCATTTTTAACTCAACTTAAAAATGTTACTACAACATGATTCAAATAGCTTTTTCTTGATTAACCCTCTAGTTAAAGAAAATCCTATTCTAAGTGCAGCACACATGAAGTTGTCAACATGATGTAAATGTTAAACAAATCACTTGTTAAATATCTTTGCAGAAAAGATGCATAAACTACAAGTACATACTGTACAAACTTGTCT